TTTCGAGCCTATACAGCTTGGAGTAAGACAACATGCATGAAGAGGATGATGTGGACAAAATACTCATTTGCCTAATAATTCTGCACTCCCTGTAATTAAGATAATTGCATTTAATTGTTTTTAACACAAAACCAGGAGACGGCAAGGTGGTGTCAGGGAAAAATTTAGCTTGGCAGGGTCAGATGGTAGTCTGAAATGAAGGCAGATATAAGGATTAAGTTGAAGAAAGAAGAATATTGCGCAGAGTTCAGGGAAGACTTGAAACAGGCTCTGGGTGATAGGGAAAAGTTACCTGATGACTGGGAAAGTACAGCTGAATTAGCAGCTAAGAAGGTATTTATCCTTTGGACAGAGGAAAGAGCACAAACAGACTTAGTAGCGGAATGAAGTACAGGGAAGTATTTAAAGGAAGAGTTTAGCAACAAAAAAGTGGGATCGTCAGGAAAACTATGTAAGTGGAAAGGTTATTGGGACGCTAGGCACACAGCAAAGGGAGAGGTGGTAAAGGAGAAGACTCATACTGACTTCGATGTGAGACTGAATACTAATGAAGAAGAAACGGACTATTATTGATTTTTTTTTAGACAGCGAGATCGGGCTGGGAAGGATGTGCAACAGGTTGGGGTGTTCCAAAAAGTTGATTCTGTTCATCTTGACGTAGCGTTTTCAGTGGGAGAAGTGTTTCATCACTCATTTCCTGATGATTGTTTTCCTCGCCTGTATGAATGAGAATGTACCAAGACAGGTTAAAGTGATTAAGGACAGGAATGGAAATGTGCTAACAAGTAAAGCAAGTGTACTGAGAAGATGAAAGGAGTAATTTGAGGAGTTCCTGAATCAAGAAAATTAGAAAGGGTGATGTGCAGAGCTGTAGCAACTTCAGAACCAAACCATGAAACTAAAGGAAGTTGTTAAGGAGAGAGTTGATGATCAATGAGCAGCCGTATGGTTTCCCCTTTTGTTTGCTATGGTGATGGACAGACTAGACGTCCTAAAGCCATCTACAGACTACCGTCTGATGCTGCCAAGCTACAATTTTTGTAGCAGATGAGGTCAGACATCGTAGACTCCGTAGACTGTGATGTTTACACTGCGATCTGTAGTGAGAGTAGAGAGCTGTCAGAGGTTAGGTTGGAGAAGTTGAGCTGGAAAAATGAAGCCACTAGAAGCAAGACAGAATACAAGTACCTGAATGAGATGGAAACAGGTCTGACAAGGAAGTTGTAAGGAGTAGAGCAAGTGAAGATTGATGAGGGTCAGCCATCCAAAGATCAGGACAATATTAGAAATCAATATATCAGAGGGACAGCTCAGGCCAGGCATTTGAGACAAAGTTAGAGAGGCAAGTTTGACATGTACAGTGGCGTGATAGTGGATATATTGAATAAGGGACGTTAAATATGGAGCTGCAAGGCAGGAGAAAAGGAGAGAGACCACAGAGAGCATTCATGGATGTACTGAAAGAGGACATACAGAGGACTGGTGCGGCAGAGCAGGATGCTATGAATAGGGTGAAATGGAGGCAGATGTTCCAGTAAAGGGAGTTGAATTAAATATTTCCACAAGCTTTGTTAAAAATAGCACAGATGTGTCACTTATACTTTTAAAAGTAAAAGTTTAGCAAAATAAACAGCATTACAGTAAGATGAATGATTCGAATTTTTAAAGAGTCTCTTATCTTGTCCAGTTTAACGTTTGTTTATTTGTTTATTTTCAAATAAAGGCCTTTTATATATTTTATTAAAATGATCTGAAGATAGGAGCATATTGATTGCAGCCTATAATTAGTGAAATGAGGAATGCTTTCATTTTGCTCTTTGCCTATTGGTTGAGAAGCTTGTATTTAAATAATACATAAATAAAATAGGTACTGTTGCAGCACTAAATATTGCACAATGAAAGTGGGAAGAGCAAAAAGGTTAGAAGGGGCCCAATGCTCCACACCTCTACAAGAGATTAGTGAGGAGGAATGATCAGGAAAGAATAATGAGTTTTCGCATCTTTATAGACCGGACCAGCAACAAAACAGCATTTTAAGCCTAAACACCAGGAAAAAGGACTATTTTCAAATTGTTCCAATAGCTTGCAATTTATTTATTTTTACCAGTATTAAAGTAATAACATCATTATCAATCAAATTAGTAAGATCGATCTGGATTTTCACCATAATCATCAAATAAGTTTATCTTACTTGAAGGAGTTTGTGAATAATTAAGCTCACACGTGAACATACCCGACAGGTTGCACCCTCATTATTAGCTGTAAGCTGTAAATCAGGTTTGACTTCAAATGAACTTTAACAGACTGTGCGTTGGGTGTTTTGTTTTTTTGTTTGTTTGTGTTTTCCCAGTGTGATGAGCGTACACAGATGCATGCAGGTTTATTTACTACTTGAGTCTCTTATTAAAAACTCACGCACTGAGATAACCATAAACATTGACTGTTAGATCAGTTGTCTGAGTAATACATGTATATCCATATATAAGCTTTGTAAAAGTTGAAAAACACAACCTACCAAATATATACTGTAGGTGTACTACTACCAGAGAAACAGTGACATCAAGTGGTACATATGTAAATTTTATTTATGAGCAGGCAGTACACAGATTGGTGTCATGTGCCCTGCTGAATTGAAAATGTGTGACTCCTGTCTGTCAAGATGAGCGGAAAAATGTTCGCAGGCCATTCCTCGAGGATTAGGAATGAAAATGGAGCTTTGTGTGCAGCCAGTCACAGTTCTAAAACAAAGCCAGGGGAAATTAAGCTTGCCACTGGCCTGCTGTCACAGATTCGTTCAGTTTTACTCCTGTTCGCGCCTTCAGGCTCAACTTAATAGTCTCCATGTTTCCAAGTGCTCCTTTGTATCCTGGCTTTGTTGTAAGTTTGCCTGTAATGCAATGACACTGCAGATGTTTTTTTCTCTCTATCTTTTTGAAAACAGAATATCTTTTCTCATGTCTAGATGCAGAGGGGAGGCAGCGTGGCTCTATGTCGCCATAAAATAAAGGCTTTCTGCTACATGATGATGCTTAACGTCTTCATCTGTGTCGTGATAAGCGTGTCATGGAACCTTGGACACAAGAGAAGTGGCCATCACAAAGTTCACATCCCATCCAAGAGGTTTTGGAGTAAACACATACTGAATGAAACCTTCTGGAACAAGGAGCAGCAACGCTTGGATTTCATTTACAACCCCAACTTTAACTCTGTATTCTCCAGCACGTCACGCAACACACTGCCAGATTGGCTCAATGACACTGGACCTCTGGACCCGTGTGAACCGGACTACAGAGTGCCCAGGCAAATCTTTGACTACAACTCCCTACCAAAGCAATTCCAGGACTTTCTTTTGTACATGCGTTGTAGGACATACCCTATGTTAATAAATCAGCCCCATGTTTGTAGTGAAAAACCTTTCCTACTGCTGGTTGTCAAGTCTTTGATCTCTCATTTTGAAAGGCGGCAGACCATTCGTGAAACTTGGGGACAAGCAGGAGTCTTAGCCAACCAGACTGTGGTAACAGTGTTCCTGCTAGGCAACGTCTTGTCGTCAGACCACTTCCCAGACTTGCAGGAGTTACTGAGTCATGAGGCAAAGCTTCACAAAGACATACTTCAATGGGACTACAGAGACAGCTTCTTAAACCTAACTCTGAAAGAGGTCCTCTTTCTGGAGTGGTTTACCAAACACTGTCCTCAAGCTCGATTTGTTCTTAAGGGCGATGACGACGTCTTTGTGAACACCTTAAGAATTGTTAACTATCTGGAAGGCCTGCCAGAGGGTGAGTCCAAGGATTTGTTCATAGGCGATGTTATAATAAATGCTGGGCCACACAGAGACAAGAAACTTAAATACTTTATCCCAGAGAGTGTGTTTGTGGGAAACTATCCTCCCTATGCTGGCGGTGGAGGATATCTGTACTCTGGGGAGTTGGCGGTACGCCTACACAATGTATCTCAGCAAGTAGTGCTGTTTCCCATTGATGATGTATACACTGGGATGTGTCTCAAGAAGCTGGGTCTTGTTCCTGAGAAGCACAATGGCTTCAAGACATTTGACATTGAAAAGAAGTATAAAGACAATCCTTGTATCCACAGGAACTTGATGCTGGTTCACAGCCGAACTCCACAGGAGATGTTAACAATTTGGCCCTTCATTGTCCAACCCGAGCTGGACTGCCAGTGAAAGCTTTATTAATGGCTGTTTGCAATACTGAGTTTGTCAGTCATTTTCAATCCTTCCATTCTATATTTTTCAAATCAAAGTTCAACAGGGTTGCTACTTTTTATTTACAGGATATGTGTTGCATTTTACTGTTTAATTTTATATGGAGCATTTTTTTTTCTGAATCTGTAGTGTTCTCTGTGAGTCATGTTGAAAGAGACATTTGATTCTCATCTGATGCATTTTTAAAATTTGAGTCATTCAGTATGTTTAAAAACACAATAAACGCTTTGAGAACTAACATGAAGTAAAAATGAACATCCTGAAAATGAATGATGTTAGTACATTTTCCTGATTTAAAAAAAATGCATAACTATATGTTGATTTATACAGTAGGCCTACTGATATCAGCACCTGCCTACAAGGTTGAAAAGTGAATTGCATTAGTAATAATATATAAAACCATTTCTGTTCATTTAATGACATGTATGTCTGTTCCATTCACAGATGACTCTTTGTGAAGCTTTGCCCCCAACATTTTTTTAATCATTAAAACATTCCAGTGTCTCTGAATTTTGTATGCTTCCTATAGGCTCTGGGCACATACACAAAAGGAGCTATTTGATGTGCCACAAAAAATGTATCAGATGAGAATCAAATGTATCTTTCAACATGAGTGACAGAGAACACTACAGATTCAGAAAAAAATGCTGCATATAATATAAACAGTAAAATGCAACACATATGCTGTAAATAAAATACAAGAGTAATGTGCTGTTTTGTCACTGATCCAGGTGACTTGTTTTAGCTTGAGTTATATTTATTTTACCGCTCTGTGTGCTCTTGGTGTTGCTCTTTATTTCTAACACAACTTCTAACAGCTTTGTATTTGAACTCTGAAACTTTGATACATTTAATCAGTAAATGTTACTCAGTGTGTTCAGGTCTGATACTCTTCTGTAGCCTAATAAAGAAGACATTTAGTTTGTAGTCAGATGAAAGTGAAATAAATGTTATTGATTGGAAATTATTGACCATAAATCATCTACAAATGCAACAATTCAATTTTCTAATCTATGTTTTATTAGCTGCATTAAAACAATGTTAAAGAGACTTGGCAAACAGACCAAACTTTTATACAGTTTTTGCAATTGAATACATGCATTACACACGACACACCGTTTGCACTGCTGTAATTTCACAACTGGGCTTCATTTAGTGATGTGAGTAAAGTGAGGTTAAACAGATTACATATACAGATACCATCAGCAGAGAATCTATAAAAGACAAGAAACATTCTTTAAATAAAAGTATTATTGATCATGTGATGCTTCCCACCAAATTTAAACTGAAATTCAGAATAAGTTATGCGGTAAGTATATGTTACCATGGTGATTTATGCAGGCAAAAAGAAAGTCACCTTCATAACAAAGAACACTCTTACTATAAGCTCAACATAGCTCACTACTTTGTTGATATTTGTTGTTTAATGGATGTGTTTGCTGGTAAACAGTCCAGCTGTTATTTCTGTTTTCATCCCACTTTGGAATCCCACTATTTGGTCAAATCCCAATCTTCACCACTTGCAAATAAAATGAACAAAAGCAGGTAACTCAATAAGGTAATAGAGCTTAAGCATCTAACTGTGGCTGAACATTTGCACAATGTGTATAAAATTTAGACCTACATTTTTAGATTTGCAGATGGTGCTACATTTAGTAGATGAAATAATAGATCAGACATTGTCTGAATATCACTGCTATTACTCCAATATAACAGCCGTGCCACAAAAAAAAAAGAACCAAAAAAACATGATTATCATGTGCATGTTTGCTTTTACATTTTCTTCTTAATATACATTTTCACATCTGAAGGCTCTTATAATTCAAAGCATCATAAAAACATGGATAGAAGCATCAGGGAAAATATAAGCAGGAGTCTTATTTTTAATATCACTGCATTTTAAATGAATTGCTTTTCAGCCTTAACTGACGTGACTAAGTTAAAGAAATGAAATAAAACTTAAAGTGATCCGACACTGGGTGTTGCTGTGAATTTGGGTTTATCTGACAGAAACATGACACATATTTTCACAGACTTCCATAATTCAATTTATGAAATATTATTTTGACTGTTTTTCTTGCTTATTTGTATGTGTGTATTTGAATAAGCAGTAAAGTGAGTTTGGCTCATATGCAACAATTTTCCATGGTTGACTGAATAAGGATTAAGTTTTGTTGACATTGTTTTAGCCATTACCCCCACCCATCTGCTCCTCACTCTCAATAAATGAAAACTGTCTCTTGTTATTGTGTGTTGTTGTGGTAAATTTTAAACTAATCTGTATTTGAATGTCCAACAATAAAGTGTTCTAATCTCATAAATTACAACATGTGATTTTTGGTATTATTTTTTTTCCTGGAAAAAATGTAAAGAAATAGTTTATGAAACTCAAACACAGCAAATATCTGTAGCAGATAAAACCTAAACCCCTAAATAAAATAAGTGCAGTGTCTTCAGCTTTGTCTTTAAAGCAGAAAGCACCAGCCCAATAATAAATATTACAGTGCCCTCTGCTGGATAAAATGGATATTACTAGCCAGTAAAAGGAAACTTAATCAACTAACTGATGCAATTCACCTGCAGAGACAGGAAAGGAAATAGCCGTTGAACTGAATCTGAGAGGATCAGATTGACTTTGTTGCTTCCCAAATTTCAGTAATTTAACTGCATACGAAAATGAAACAAACAGCCGTCATAAACTTCAAGTGTGTGCTGCTCATATTTTTGTTGACATTTGACTGTAATGCACAGGTAAGTTATTGTGCCTCCCTGATAACCTCTTTTGGATTTGTGTTAACAGTTTAATTGTGTATTTCTTTCTGTCTTTAGGTGAATGAAGAAGATACTGAGCAGCCTCCAGGTGAGTCTGCAAATGTTTAACTTGGGATTTTCTATGTTTATATGTTATTTTGTAAGTCTAAATGTTTCAGCCTGTGCTAACAAACTGATTTTAGTTTCATAAAACCTGATCACCAACGCACATGCAAACTTTCTTATGAAATATGACCATTATATTTGAGCTAATTGGATTCTAAATAAACTGTACCTCATTTTGGTAGTTTGACATCGCCCATATGGATTAATGGGAGAGCCTTCCTTATACAGGTTAATATTTGATTGTTTTTATTCAGTGTGAAAGTGAATGATGTTAGTATATTTTCCTGATTTTAAAATATGCATAACTATATTATATACAGTACTGAAATCAGCACCTGCCAACTAGGTTGAAAAGTGAATTGCATTAGTAATAATATATAAAACCATTTCTGTTCATTTAATGACATGTCTGTCTGTTCGGTTCACAGAAGACTCTGGAGCTGAAAACACTTTCTTTGCCTTGCGGAGTTGTCACCGGTTGCTATACAGTGACAGTGGTGAGTTTTTCTCCCCGGACTACCTATGCTCCAATCCTCCCCTGTGGTGCAACTGGACAATCCAGGTGGATCCGAGTAAAAGGATTCATCTCTACCTGGAGGATTTGACCCCTGATGACATCTGTAACCTCAAACAGGACCAAATCCACATTGACGAGCCAGTTGGAGATTTAGCGGGACACAAAGTCTTACAGAAGTGCTGGCAAGAGGCCAAATACACCACCTCCTCCAATATTCTGTATGTAGTGCTACTGATTAGTGGCTGGCCCAACCCCCTGTATAGGGGCTTTTATGGTCGCTACCAGGCATTTGGATCGCCAGTCATTTATAACCCAGGGGAAGGCTTTACAGAGACAAGCAATGAGTCAGAGACATCTCCTGGGCTGATGGACTTCAGTGAATCTGGACCAGGTACAAAGAGGGAACAAATAGCAAGGATGACTGAGCTACCCACGGAGCCCAAGATGCCTGCAGACACAAACACTTGGGTGAGTGGACACAGTGTTAGTCTTAGATGCCTTACGCTGCCTGGCAATATTTCTAACACTGGCAAAAGCTGCATATTCACTATTAAATTTAAAAATGGGTAAAAAGTAGTCAACGTGTCAATGTTAACGCATCATTATGATTAACGCAATTAAGTTTTTTAACCCATATGGAGCACAGACTGGACAAACTGCCCGAAATGCGTTGACAGAGACATTTCAGGAATTTTGAGTCATTCTGAGCTCCAGATGGGTTAATTACCTTAAAAATTGTAATATTGTAAATTGTGATGTTGGATTAATTGGCGTCAACGCTGACAGCCCTAGTAAAATTACTGTCTAATGTTAAAGATTTCACTCACTGATTTAAAAACATGTAGAAAAAAGTTTAGCAACTTCTTTCAGTCCCTCTGCAGTGTAAATCATTTAGGCTTTTTTCTGCACTTTGTTTTGATTTTCTCTTTAATAAATTGACCTTCTAAAATTTTTTTTTTTT